TTCCATACATTAGAGGGGTACATGTGATGACAACACTTGCACGCTCTTCTTGCAGCAAAGTTTGGGGGGGGATTAATGAATGCATCATATATAAATCACTATGGATATCCATTGCCATATGGGTTATTTATACGGTAATCAACGTACATTATGCATGCGCATTATGCGAGCCCATTCTTCTTGTCGATTGTGTGTACTAAAATAGCCGTAAAAATGTAACCGTTCAGATAGTTACAGACTTAGTAGTGCTTGGAAGCGAATAATCAAATAATACATTTTTAAAATGCATGCCTATACAGGCCACCATACTTCAATAGGGATTACCGTTGGTACGGCTATTTGAGTACACACAATCGACAGGATATACAAGAACAATTGCGCTCGCATAATGTGCGTGTATAATGTACATCGATTCTTTTTTTCGTTCCTGGGTAGTGTTATTTCCTAATTTCTTATGCCTCAAAAGTACGGAAAATGGCTATTATTCCCGACAAACCTTGCTTTTGTGACCAGGACAGTGATATTTTTAAATTTACCTATTTTCATTGAGAAAACGTGCGCATTTGTGTCATTCCTTCACATAAAGTCCTGGTCAAAAAAAAAGTTTGTGGGGAATACCCATTTTTTATACATTTGAGGCATAAGCAATTAGAAAATAACACTTACTACCCAGGAACAAATATCGTGTTACATAGTGTTACCATATACAAAACTTAAAGGGTAATGGATAACCACTCATTTATGTGTAGCGTCGGTGTCAGGCATTGTATATAGATAGCATTGTTATGCACACCTACCTATAGTAGCACACACGTGTCCATAGGGGGTGGTAACCCGAGATAGGCAGGATGAGCCGGGCCGTTGGGACACTAGGCTCTCCCAACCCCAAGAGAGGGGTTGGGGGGATATTCCAGAGCCCCCTAGAGACTTCCAGAAGGGGGGCGTGGCCAGGGGCGGAGGGGCGTGGCCAGGGGCAGAGAGACCCGGGCACGGGTATAAAAGCCGGACCTCTGGACGAGTCTGGCAGTCTTCGTCAAGCTGAAGAAGACCAGCTAGGCTAGGACCCTGGGAACCTCCAGACCCGCCGTCCTTCTAAGGGCCGGGACCGAGTGGGCCAGTGGTCAGGACCCGGGGACCTTGGCTGGGTCGGGTCAGATCGCCTCCCCCTAGGTCCCCTTAGCCGGAGGAACGCGAGTGTAGCCCCAGTGATTAGGACAAGCTAGCCCGGAGGCAATATCTCCATGGGTATCGGGTAGAGGGACCGCTACGCCTCTGTGTTAGGGACCCGTGTATCCCGCGGTTATATTGAATAAACGTGTTGCCTCAAGCGCTCCGTCTCTGGTCTCCCTGGAACCCACTACATATGCATTCATTAACCCCCCCCCCCACCCACTTCGCGCAAGAAGAGCATAGAGCTGGCTGCTGGCGAAAAAGGGGGAACTGTGTAGTACGGCAGTATTGAAGTCAGCAGGCCATGAAAGACACGAGGGGGTCATCTAGGCGAAAGGTCACAGAGGGGGACCCATCGGGAACCCGCTAGTAGGTTCCAGAGAGGGGGCGTAGCTGGGGCGGAGCAAGGCCACGCGGAGAGTATAAGAGGGGCCCCCTGTGAGGGACCTTGTGGCTGTTGTTGGAGTGGGATCCCCGTCGTGCTGTTCCAAGATCATTGTCATCGTCTCGTCGCCATCGTCTTCACTCGATAGTGTGCTGCTCGACAGTTGTTGGCTGTCTTGGTTCAGCACCGTCAGTGTTAGACGGTTAGTGATGTGTATAGGCTAGCAACAGTAAGTGTGTACGCACGTGGTGGTGTGTATAGGCTAGCAACAGTGTGTACCCACATGTTGTGTATAGGCCAACAACAGTGTGTACCCACGTGGTGTTGTGTATAGGCTAGCAACAGTAATAGTGTGTACCCACGTGGTGTTGTGTAGAGGCTAGCAACAGAAATAGTGTATACCCACGCGGAGTTGTGTATAGGCTAGCAACAGAAATAGTGTGTACCCACGTAGAGTTGTGTATAGGCTAGCAACAGTAATAGTGTGTACCCACGTAGTGTTATGTAGAGGCGAGTGACTGTAGTGTGTGTACCCACGCAGTGTTGTGTAGAGGCTAGCAACAGTGATAGTGTGTACCCACGTCGTGTTGTGTATAGGCTAGCAACAGTGATAGTGTGTACCCACGTAGGGTTGTGTATAGGCTAGCAACAGGACTAGTGTGTACCCACGTAGTGTTGTGTATAGGCGAGTGACTGTAGTGTGTATTATACCGATGGTGCTCGTTAAATAAAAGTTCCTCCACGTAGTATCGTCTCCGAGTTAAGTCACTACACTAGTAACGAATTGGCATGTTTTATTCACGTGACAAACCTTATTGTCTCAAGTTTAAAAAAAAGTATTTCTTTGCATGAACTTATCCTCGATTATATTAGCTTATCCTTGAACTGGCTTGACTAGCCATTGGCTTGTCGTTTTTTTATTGTAAAGCTTCCAATTAAAATGCTGTGCATGAAGAGTACCACAGCAGGAATCCAATAACCCGTGTTGTTATGGGGGGAACTGTATCACGGATCCTATAATCCACAGTCCACCACGGAGGTTAGACATATATGGGAGAAATTAGCCACGCAATTCCATAAATAAACTAAAATTCACATCGGCACAGCTAGTCTGCGCTGATGTAATGAATATTGCAAAGGAAAATAAAAAAAAAATTGCCTCCACGTTTCCCTGAAGCTGCTCTCCTACAGCTGAACGTTAGCTGCATCTGACTTCTACGGATCACTGCTTGTGGCCTACAAAGCGTTTTCAATCCGCCGCGGCGTGCGGAGGATTACGAGAGAAGTCGCGAACCATCAAAAATACGTGAATTACAGGGACTCGCAGGTTATTGGTTAGCGAAATTATTGGATATCTGGTTTATATAAAAAAAAATATATTGTAATCAAGATAAAATCCAGTATTCAAGCGATACAATTGTAAATCTTCCCGATTACCGTCTTGACATATACGTTAGATAAAAAAAGTATCTAAAATGCTAAATCCTGGGCTACAAAAGGTACAAGATGCTTGATGGTCACAGCTACCAAACGTCCATGTTTGGCGGGGATAGCCCCAGTTTCAGCAAGGTTGTCCCGGTGTCCCCATCCCCTCATCCCCCACCCTAAGCATTTGTGAAAATTGGGATTTTGTCCCAGTTAAAAATGTTTTGACCTCAAGCTCAAATCATTTATATGGGCAAAGGGTGGAGCTCCCCGAGTAGTGGATGAGGGTTGGCAGAGTAGGCCAAGGCCCATAAGCAATAGATGGGGGCCCGTCAGAAATAGCAAGGCGGTGCTAGTGATTAAGTGGGTGTGGCTATGTAAAATTGGGTGGAGTAATGGGATGGCCTGTCAGCTCGCCAGACCTGCTAGCCGAACCTCTCATAAACCGCGTAGCTGTATCGAAGGCAAATCACGGTCAGGCAGCTTCTTTATAGCTCAGTAATTTTGTGATGTGTCATGACATGAGAATGCACCAAGGAATTATCTCAAAGTCTATATGGACACTGAATCACCGACTGGAATTTTGCAGTCCAAAGGAACTACATGACCAGTAGGCTACCTTTTCCCATCTGCAAAAGCACTCAGCCTCTGTGGGGCGGAGATGGTGAGGGCTGTTTTTTATTTTAAATCTTGACTTAAAGCTTTCGTGACTGGAGGATGCTCGGCGATCTGCCATTAACATGCTAATCTCTCACATTAACATAGCCACCTTGGCGCACTCGTCGTGAAGGAGTCTCGGCGATCTTGCATTGACATGCTAATTTTTACCTGGCAGCCCTTTGATTGGTGGAAAGCCTACCACTGCTGCGGTCCCCGCCCACCACTTGCATTGGCTGCTGACATTTGGGCTACGCCCATTTAAAACCTTTATAAGCAGTTGTCTTTAGAAGCTCACCTCCCTTTTCCTGTTGACGACCGCTTGCGATGTGATCGAAACGTCGTAGTCTTTCGTTATTTTCTTTGAACCTATCTATGTGACTTTACCGAAAGGCCCAAAGAATATTTTTTCTTTTACCAGGTAAAGCCAACTGAGCTATATATAGCTCTTTTTCCAAAGCGACCTGACCACAAATGCGAGCTCAACGAAGTGGCTTATCGTGTGGAAATGTATAGCAGCTAAACAATCTCTCAACGCATGTTGATTCTAAATGTGGAGGGAAAAACCGGAGGACCCTGAGAAAAAATCCACACGACCACGGGGAGAACATGCAAACTCCAAATACACAGGCGTCAGGATCGAGATCGAACCCACGACCTCCTGCATACCAGACGAGGTAGTTAACATCTCGCCACCGTGGTTCCCACTGATGTCCCCTGGAATACCTAATGGAGTGATTATCTGACTCACACATCAGAAGGAATTCTTAACATGCAATGCATGTAATACAGTAGTAACGTGAATAATACAAACAATTGTAATACAGATAACATGAATGTGCATAATAACAAAAGTAACAGTAATAGCAACAAAATAACCAATGATAATTAATCAGTTATTTCCTGCATTTAAATGTATCACAATGCCTTCTTAAATGTGGGCAGAACCACAAGCTTCTCAAGGTCCACTGAGAATTGTGTAAGTATATATAAGGCATGGAACCTCTTGCTATACGGTACCCTCGAGCAGCTGTGTGATATCACAGTTGTACTGCATGAGAGTGCAGTGTGTGCAAGGGTAGTAGAATGCACCTAGCCTGGCACGGGCGCGGTGGACACTTGCCGGCAAATGGTGGATGCCACGGCGTCAAGATCAATGCCAGTGTCAATAGTTCAAAGTTAATGTGCCATTTTATTGAGGGACTACTGACCGTGGCGTTATCTTGGTGTGGTCTTGGACTGTTGTGTTGTCGTGCCTTGCCCGATCTTGATAAGTCGGACTCAAATAATTGATCAACTACATTTCGCGACTTGCTTCCCATTTTTTCTCTATTTTTAACTCCTATCGTTTGTTTTGTATATTTGCCGTCTTAACTGGCTGACCCGTACTGGACATCCGTTGAAAAAATAGAGCTTCATAGCTTATCGGATTCCTCCTCCAGCCTAAATAAAGATTCTGATTCTGAAGGTCCGCCAGCTCCAGGATGCCCCAGGCTCTCACCTGGCACTCTCACCGCCAGGCGGTGGACATGGCCCAGCGGCAAAGCGTCAGCCGCTTGTCGCCGAAGTTCACCGTTGTAAATAAGCGGCCACCCTGGTTATTACTGCGGATGTATTAACCATGAAAGGAAATACACACGAGCTGGTTACGTTGCAGTGGGGAGCGTTAAAAGAATCCCAGGGATGTCGTACACGGTCCAAGTTTTCCAAATCTGAACAATTATCTGCAATTTACTCAATTGGGATTATGCACAGCAATCATAAGCCTAGTGTGAAAAAACTTGGCAGGACCCTCCTGAAACAAGAGAAAAGAGACTCGGTAAGGCTTTAATAAAATAAACTCGTCAGCGGCCAGTAGTTCGCAGACACATACCTGAATCCATATACTTATATCAGCTGTGGCGGGGCCAGAAATCAGTAGGCTTAGCTATTGTGAAGATAGAAATCCGACAATTCCAAAGCATGCCTGCTACCCTTACATGCTTGCCTCAGCCCTAACTTTTGCATGGCCTCTTCACTTGCCGATCAATTGGGCAGGTGAAACTGCCAATAGACTGACATCTAGGTGGTTAATGTTCAACAAACTGATCAGCAGCATGAAAAAAAATAATCTGCAAAAAATTGCCAATGGTGCTCAAAATGCCGCACAATTCGGCGAACCGCCATGATAATCTTCGAGGTGAGAATCGGTGGGCCAGTGCCTCCGCTTTTTCTCTCTTCACAGTCAAGGGCAATACGCGAAACCGGGACAAGGGCTCGATAACCAACACCTCCTCCCTCAGGTCTCACCACTTCGCTTTTAAATGCTGGCCCTGGTGCCGCTGGCAGTTGGTGCGCTGGGAGAAGCCCCGGCCGCACACATTGCAATGGTATGGCTTCTCGCCCGTGTGCGTGTACATGTGCTTCTGCAGGTAGTCACTTCTCACGAAACGCCGCTGGCACAGCTCGCACACGTACTGCCCGTGCTGGCCCTTGTCTCCGTTCGGCACGGTCGTCGCCGACGCCGCCGCCGCGGAGTGCATGATTGCCCGCCAGCTCGCCAAACTCTGCTCCGAGACGCAGCCCGTTGCGTTGGGCGGCCTGGGTAGGCGCATCGAGTTTGCGTCAACGGAGAAAGCAACGGGGCCTCGTGCTACGTTCCCACCAATGTTCCCACCGATGCCCCGTGCTACTCCGGACGCGAGGAACTGCTGTGACCACTGCGCGTTCCTCGAGAATTCTGGCCGAGGGTAGAGTTGTTCGACGGCCTTGAGCGACGTTACATTTCCGATGATCAACCCAGATTGATCCTCCTCTTTCTTGCCTGCAGGACAAGAATAGCCCGGTTGGTTTTGCGCGGTTGAGAAAACTACATCCTTGCATGTTGTTTTTTCAGGGGTGTACACGATTTTATCCGCGGTGTATCCGAATCCACTGTGTGATGAGCCGTACTGTATCGGGCTTTTACTGTATATTTTTTGTAATATACATTTTGTTTCTCTGTGGCGTTCTCGTACCATTTTGGATATGTTGTTGACAATGTTCAGAATTTTCAGCAGCTATTTGCATGAACGATGCTAAATAAAATAACTATGGGTGAAGTTTGACTTCTATATTTGGGGAGGGGGGGGGGCAGGGTTTCACTTTGGAATTGCGGGTGCATATAATTAATTCATTTTTTTAAGTTTGACTTCTAAATTTGGGGGAGGGGGGGCAGGGTTTCGCTTAGGAATCGCGGGTGCAGATAATGAATTCATTTTTTGAACTTAATTGTAAACTACTGAAAATAAGTTAATAAAGGTGTCCAATTTGGGTGGGCATTGCCCCCCCCCCCCCCACAAACTCCACCCACGAAAATAACATTTTTATTTATCATTATGTGTATTTTTATTCAATAAAACAAAACCTTACATCTGCTCAAAATAACAGACGCGGTCAAACAAACAACGTTCTCCCCCATACCCAGCTTTGACTTCGTACCTGGCAAACGCTTAGCGTCCTTATTGTCGCAAGCCTCCATTTTGATGACGCGCCATGCGACAGGAGGCCTCAAGGCGACCTCCAGGGGCGATCTCTCCTCCACTCCCTCGCCTGCAGAAAACAAGAAATGTTACTATTAATACTGATCTTCTTCTTCCACGCGTCTGTCCCACTCATGCGGGGGTGTTCCGCTGTCCTTGCCAACCTTCTTCACGCTAACCTGTCCTGCGCCATGTCTCTTTCCGCTCCTTGGGCCAACATGTCCGATCGCACCACATCGCCCCCCACCACCTCTTCTTCTGCCTTCCTCTTCATCTCTTTCCTTCCACTTGCACCTTCTAACCCACATTAATTGTCCTGTTGTCTCGTCACATAAGCGAACCACACCAGCCTTTTCTCTCTCATCTTCTCTGTGATTTGTATTACCTTGAGTCTTCCTCTCACTTTTGCAATTCTCACCCTGTCCTTCCTTGTGAAACCCAACATCCACCGCAACATCCTCATCTCTGTGACTGCCACAGCTTGGTCCTCCCTGTTTCTTGTGCCCCCAGCACCGGGCCCCAAAATATACTGCTATTTTTTATTTTTCGATTTAAAGCTTTCGTGACTGCAGGGATTCATCTTCTTGGTTCTTTCGGTCAAGTCACGTAGAATGGAAATAAAATAATAAAAATAAAACATTATTTTATTTAAATAAAACATAATAATTTTATTTTTTATTTTATTTCCATTCTACGTGACTTGACCGAAAGAACCAAGAAGATTTTTTTTTACTTTACCAGATAAGGCCCACTGAACTACATAGCTCATTTTCAGAAGCGACCTGGCCACAAATGATAGCTCAACGACGTGGCTTGCTACGTGGACATTTTATAGCAGCCAACTACTCTAAACTCGTGATTGTTGATTCTAAATGTGGAGGGATCAACCGGACGACCCGCATAAAAATCCACGCGACGACAACATGCAAACTCCTAATATACTGGGGTCAGGGTCGGGATTGTACCCACGACCTTCTGCATACCAAGCGAGGTAGTCAACATCCCGCCACCGTGGCACCCTCGCTGACTTGACACTTTCAACAGCCATCCCTTATACAGCTTGTATAAGGGATGGCTGTAAGTTCATCGTAAAAAAAACTAAGTGGATTCCAAAACACATGGGTGGGATGTGTGGCTGTACCTTAAGAAGCTGTACAGAAACAGTCGGCTTATATAATTTAAAGGCAGTCAGTCATAGGTAGAGGGAAACCATCATGGTCTTGAGCTTGAGGGGAGTTTGTTGAGAGGAGAGAGGTAGTGTGTGAAGGGGAGTGTGTTAGATGAGAGGTGTGAGCTAGCAGAGTGCATTGGAGGAGAGTTTAGTTAGGTAAGAGCAGAGCTGTAAGCAGGAGTGAGTTCGAAGAGGATGTATGTTGAACTTCTTTCGCACCATACGTAGCCAATCGTACTAATCGGAGATGGAAGACAACAAACTAAACACAATGAGCCAATTCTACAGAAATTAGTTTTCAATCTAGATTTAAACGTGCATAGCGTCAGTGGCTTCCTAATATCGGAAGGAAGAGCGTTCCAGATTGCCGGAAAAGCGCATCTGAAAGCGCTCGATGCGGTGACCGTCTTTACACACTTTGTGTGTAATGAATGCAACCTAAATTTTGATTTAAAGCTTTCGTGACTGCAGGGATTCATATTCTTGGTTCTTTCGGTAAAGTCACGTAGAAGGGAAACAATAAAATAATAAAAATATACAAAATATAAAACAATAAAATTATCACGTTTCGACTGCAACACAAGCAATCATCATCAGGTGTGAAAACCACAGCAAGAAATTTAGAAAAAAGTGGCGGTTTAAAAAAAAACGCCACTTTTTTCAAAATTTCTTGCTGTGGTTTTCACACCTGATGCCGCTTGCTTCTGCTGCAGTCGAAACGTCGTGAAAATTTTATCGTTTTATATTTTTATTATTTTATTGTTTCCCTTCTACGTGACTTTACCGAAAGAACCAAGAATATGAACGCGACCTTAGAATGTATTAGTTCAGCAACCGGAAGCCGCCAATGCAGCTTGGTGAGCTGTGGGCGAACATGGTCGGATCTTGCAGTACCCGTCACGACACGTGTCAGGGAACATTGTACATGCTGACGATGACCGCGATCTTAAAATCTATTCAGGAATTTAATTGGGAGCTAGTGCAGTAATCAGTGTAATGTTTCATTGATGGGTGTGGGTGAGGAGGAGTCTGGCAGGAGGAGGAGGAAACTACTGTGATCGCAGAAAAAATACACATGTATGGGAGAACACTGAAACAGAGTTTAGACAGACTGTCGAAAACCTGCTTGCTGTACTGCTCCGCAGGTGCGCGTCTCAGGGCGGTCACCGCTCTCATTCAAAGTGTAATTTACCAAGTTCCTCCAAATCACTGGTGTGCAGTAGCAGCAGCATCATCCTAATCATCACACCTGGACAGATTATAGGGAACAAATTAAGCCGACGAGATTTTCTCACCCACGGGTCGCTCGCAATCTTCCTCTTCGTCTCCAAGCACAGATGTTCCGGCCTCTGAATTCTTAAACTCCATGTCGCCATGTGCTGAGACCGAGCAACGTGCAGATTTGCACAACAACGAGGTTTTTAAAAATTATTATTAGGGGTGGGGAATCTGTGACAATCACATGGCATAAAGTATGGTCAAACAACCACCGTAACCGACAAGGTGGGCGGGAACCCTTTATCCATTAGTGGCTTGACAAAGGGCTGTAAACTGAATGAGTTAATTATTGAGCCAAATTGTGCCAGGGACTTACCGTGACTTGAGTACTCGTTCCTCTCTTCTGGAGGAAACGCATCCTCTGGCATGAAGTCCTGAGACTCAATTTCGGTGCTGAGCATAGAGGAACCTTCATTGTACACACCAGTTCCGTCCATAGCTCCCAGCCTCCGCACAGTTATCAGCAGCTCCCGGCTCAAGCCGCTGAACAGCGCGAGCAGCACCTCCACCAGGCCTCCCAGCGTCACGTCGCCAGGGGAGGAAGCGTCGTCCCAGCGCGCCGTCCCAGCGTCGTGGGGCTCGGCGCCCTGCAGGGCCTTCACCACCTGCCGCAGCACGGCGTAGAAGCCGAAGGGCAGGCGGTCGCGCGCCGCGGCCAGCAGCTCGGCCCGCACGAGGCCGTCTCCGACGCAGGCACGCAGGACCCCGTAGTCCCGGATGCCCAGCTCCGAGTCCATGGCCCGGGCCACCTCCGCGTTCACGCCCTGTGCCTCCAGCCACGCCGGGAAGTCCCCGCTTGGCTCCAGTACCGGGGTGGCCACCGCGCACGCCATCCTGAACGGATGTGCAATCACATCCAATAAAACAGATCACAGCCGCACTCTCTGTGGGTCTCAGTATGGGGCAGCTAACGCCACCACCACAAACATAAAGCGGGTTTCGCAACCAATATTATCCATAAGAGTCTTTTTGGGTTAGATAGCATAAATATATAAATGTGTCGTTAAACCCGCCACCACCCGACACAGCCAACAAGGCATGTCACGTAAACAGAACGTGCCAACTCGTCACTAGTACAGCACACCGGTGCGTTGGAGAGCCAAGCCACATTATTAACAATCTGAGTCCACCTGTTTCGTTCCTTATATAGAGGCGTTGATGTGATGACCACACTTGTGCGCTCTTCTTGCGCAAAGTGGGGAAGGGAGGGATTAATGAGCCAACGAATATTACGCATGCGCATTACGCAAGCCCATTGATCTTGTCCTTCTTGTCAGTTGTGTACTAAAATAGCCGTGTCAACGGTAATCCCTATTTAAGTATGGGAACCTGTATAGGCATGCATTTAAACCAAGGCTGTAATTATAATATATATTGGGGGAGACACATCCCCCCCCAATATTCAAATGTGCTCAAAATGTCCCCCCCCCCCAATATATTGCAATAAAAATATAAAAAACGTAATAATAATTGCTATGCTATGGTTACAATATCTGGACTTATCTTCATCTAAATCAATGCATAGATTTCTGTTTATATGATTGTGGTTATGGTTGTACTTTATTAATCCCTAATCTCAAACATTACATACAATGAAACAATAAATGGAAAAACAAGTAAAAACAGAGCAATGTGATACAATACACTATTAGACATTATTGTAAAAAATACATCAAAAGTCCATCCCATGTGTTAGTGATTTTTTTTTTAATGTTTTAGGTAGGAAATGAGTTTTCAAATGTAGATATTTTTTTCTGGGTTGGGACCCCATACACCCTGGAAGTTTTGGTTCTCCCCACCCCCCCATGTTCACTCCATGGCTACGGCCTTGATTTAAATAATGTATTATTTGAAATAAAAAATCATTTTAACCGTTCGGATAGCTACCGACTTAGTGCTGCGTGGAAGTGTATAATAGAAATAATACAGCACTGAACTCGACTCATCACAAATCCCTTCTGTACGGATGTAATTACCAGCGAAACGTCGTACTCAAAAACTGTAAATGTTGTGGATTCACTCTTCAACACAAAGGTGGGCTAAAGTAGTGAACTATTTTGTGTTTTGTCAACGTGACACTTTTTTTTACTGATTGGCCGTGTCGGGTGGTGGAGGATTACGACACATTTATAAATAACGCGATCTAACCCAAAAAACCTTTATTATGAATTATAAACAATTATTTGTTTGTTGGCAAAACCATCAAGTACAGGATTGGTCATGCCGACGTGAAATTCACATCACTCAGTGCCGCCAACCCGGGTGTTAGCTGTGAAACCGACAGTGGAAATTCCACATTCCACTCAACTGTGCCGAGCCAGAGAACATCCACGTGGGACCTTTCTTTCAAAGTATAATACAGGCTTTCCCCTTTCTGGAAACACAACAGGTTGTTAAGATGTTCAAACAGGAACCTCTTGCAGGGAATCGCGCACTGCGCGTGTGCGGTGAACACGTAAACAAAACAGAGCATGCAAACAAAAACAGGCTTTGTTTTGTTTTGCGTACGTTTTTTGTTTGCACGTACAAGCACAAGCAGCAGTACTGCGTGTGGTTAATTGCCAGTGCATGATTCCCTGCATAAAAAGGTTTCCGTTTGAACATCTTAACGCGTAACATAAAACAAAACCACGTTTTTTTTGTTGGCACGTACAAGCACAAGCAGCAGTACAGCGTGTGGTTAATTGCCAGTGCACGATTCCCTCTCTCTGCACAAAGATTTCCGTTCGGTGTCCGAACGTCTCAACACCTTCATGTTTGATAGCCAGAGAGTGTCAAACATTCCACACGGCACATTTAACACTGTTGACAACACCAAGCCAATAACATTGTTTTCTTTACCTTCGCCGGGTCCTCTGCAGGGAGACTCGGCCGACTTGCGTTCGGTTTTCCTCGCGCCAGTTAAATAAACGTCGCGTGGTTTAAAAACAACAAAAAAGGAATAGTTTTTTTTTTAAAACAACCCAACAAATAGACGTTTAATCAATGAGCCTAATCGTGTAGCTCACCCCCCCACCCAGCAGCAAACTTTACGCGGTTCGGCTCCGTTCGAGCAAACGACCCCCGACGAGGGAGGAGGGACATTGGCTCCACCCACATCGCAGCGCCGAGCAGATTCGAGATTTAGGGTCCGCGACGATTGACGGGAGACTTCACTGCAGGGATTTCATATTCTTTGGGTCATTCGGTTTCGGTTTTCAGTTTCATTTGTTAGGTATAGCCCCTTGTGAGCCATTCGGCTCTTGAATAAAAATCCAGGAAAAAACAGCAGGAATTCATATTCTTTGAGATCCCGCCGTACAGTAAAACAAAAGCAATGTCACCACGAGACTGAACGAAAACTATTTTTTAAAACGAATGTTCTTTTAAATTTTTTTATTTTAACCAGGTAAGGGGGCCCCACTGAGCTGTTATGTAAAGCTCCTTTTTTGCAGAAGCGACCTGGCTATCACCAATGATAGCTCAACGAAGTGGGCTCATCATCATCGTGCGGACATTTATAGCGGCCAAATACTCTAAACCGCATGGCGAATTTCCCGATGATGCTGGATGTAATTACCAGCGAAACGTCGTACTCAAACTGTAAATGTTGTGGATTCACTCTTCAACACACCGGTGGGCTATAGTAGTGAATTATTTGTCTTTTGTCAACGTGACACTTTTTTTGCTGATTGGCCGTGTCGGGTGGTGGAGGGTTACGAAACATTTATAAATAACGCGATCTAACCCAAAAACCTTTATTATGAATAATATTGGTCGCGAAAGCCCACGTGTTAAACTGACTCTAAACCCCCCCCCCCCCCACCGCGGAGGATCCGGAGAAAAATCCAAGCGACCACGTTGAGAGAGAGACAGACCGCTAACTCCAAATATACAGCGGGCATCATTGTGGGGATTGAACCCACGACCTCCAGCACACCAGGCGAGGTAGTTAACATCTTGCCATCGCGACGAACACATACCCATTTGCCCCCCACCTTATGCTGAATTATGTTGCCTTTCGTTTTAAAGCTTTCGTGACTGCAGGGATTCATATTCTTGGTCATTTCGGTATTACTTCCCTTCTACGTTGGTGTACGGTGCTATTTTTAGGAATATTTTGATGGGTTTTTTTTCCCTGGATTTTCTGTTTGCACAGTCACATAATCACTTTAAGATTGTTTTTCTTATTCTTAGTTTTTTCGGTAAAGTCACGTTGAAGAGAAACAACAAAATAACAAAATATATAAAAAACAATAAAAACATAAAGCAGACCTTAAACACGGTAGGACCAACACCTCGGCCGTAGCAGATCATTGTTCTAATTCAGTAGGCTCACATGCCATTGACTTTTCCAAGACGGAGGTTCTTTGTAAGCCATCTGGCTTCCATGAGAGATTCGTTCATGAGGCTATCCACATATACAAGCACAGAGACAATTTCAACCGAGAAGATGGATTCTATCTTAGCAATCATTGGAAAGATTTGATAAACCATTTCAGTTCTTGATTGATTGTTCACGCTTACAGTGGCTTTCAGACAGCATACATTATAAAAAAAAAATTCGTCTCCCCCCTCCTCTTTTCAAAAAAATAGATGGACTAGTCCTGGGCAAACTGCCAAATCGCTGCGCGTGACGCCAACGTTTTTTTATAAATAAATAAATGTGCCGTTTAAAAATAAATTTATGCAAACCAACATACCTGATGATGACCGTTTGAGTTATGGTCGAAACGTCGTGAGAATTTTTTATTGTTTTATATATATTTTGTTATTTTGTTGTTTCTCTTCAACGTGACTTTACCGAAACAACTAAAAATATGAATTACTGCAGTCACGAAAGCTTTAAATCAAAATTGTTTTTCTTGTTCATGTTTTTGTTTGTTGCGGTTGCACCCGATTCAAGAGCCGAATGGCTCACAGGGGCTATACCAAATAAATTAACTATGGAACTAACTACGTGACTTTAAATTTCGATTTAAAGCTTTCGTGACTGCAAGGATTCATCTTCTTTGGTTCTTTTGGTAAAGTCACGTAGAATGAGAATAAAATAATAAAATAACATAATAAAATTCTCACGACGTTTCGGCCACAACGCAAGCGGCCGTCTTCAGGTGAAAGGTACAGACCTGTCGGGACGACAGAGCTTCACTGAACGATGTTAAGATTCGTAGCGACTTTTAAGCTGGTTGGGAGAAGTGAGGCACCTTGACAAAGGGGTTCACATATCAAATAGCTGAGGGATTAGCTTGTGACTGGTCACAGTCTTTACCCGAAAGAACCAATAATGCGTTGCCTTTCGTCAGTTATTACTTTTTTGTTGTTCCCTGCCCACACCTTTGGCCGTGAATTTCAACCGCAAATAACTCGTGACAAAATCCTAACCCCCCTCTCCAATGCATCCATCAGCCCCTGGAACTGCCGGGTGTTGTGGGCAACTTCTCTCCAGCTCTCACGAAGGACTTGGGTGAGATCCGCACGTCTGCTGCTGCTCGTGCCAACTCTCCGATGTAAAAATCACAATGTCATGTTGCGCTGTCCCACTTCTTCAAAACTATTTAATTTGCAATTCATTGCATTTGGCGGCTGTCCTTGTCCGTTAAGAAAGAAAAAAATTAAGCCGGTAAAAAAAAAAACGGGCTTTGGTGGTGCACGCGCTCTCCTGTCGTCCGGCATCGTGCAAGGTAAGCAGTAAGCGGTTAGTGGATCGTATAAGATGTTGTGAAACTACCATATCGGTGAACCTTATATGGGTTACCCGTAATCTTGTGCAGGAATATTGTTGAGTTTTTTTTTAGGGTTCATATGGCGTACAGCCGCCGTTTCAATACGAGCGAACAAAATCGCTGTTTATTGTACACTTACGTAGCACGTGTTGTGTGCGCATCCACATCAAGCAACAGCAGCAGCAGCGTCAGCATGCAAAATCACATACAGTAGCATGATAAATAGCATAATTGACAGCAATTATAAAAATTAATTACGTAAAAAGTTTTTTTTAGTAACATAATCTTTGTCTATTTGTTTGTGTTTCTCCCTTGTGATGGGACTTTGTCGAATGAACGTTGAAATGTATAAGGGCATGGGGTGACCAATAAGGTCTGAATTGGTCCGTAATCAGGTAGGGCACTGATAAGGAGTCGACAGATATGAACTACCTTCCCGTAGACGTCAAGTAGGAGCCATACCCTGGCTCGTATGTAGTATGCTGAACTTATTTCGCACCATGTGTAGCCAACCGTGCTTTTCGGACGTGCTGGGGAAGGTCATCACGCTAAAAACAAAAGGCTGTTCTAAATCAATTAAATTCAGATTTAAAAGTGCAAAACTCCCTCCAGTAGCTTCCTAACATTCAGGCGGTACAACAAATGTGGACTCCACCTGTCCCGTCCGAATGGGATCGAGTGTTTCCCCCTCACACGCATGAGTTTCCGCCGGGTGCTCCAATTTCCTCCCACATATAAACACTCGATAATGTTGCCGATAGCGCCTTAAAAAAAGGCCCACATTCGTGCAAAATAAACGTACTGTGAAAGACGTTATTGACCGTCTTTGTGAATGAAATATCAACGGAGAGTATGCGGACCACACAATTCTGTGAAAGTACGGCGGAGAATAAACACACACAAGCACCGTGACAGAAATAGCAACTTTAATTGCACAAAAAAGCAACAACAACAAAAGAACCTACGACAGCAAAGACACTTGCACTTTTGACTGAGCTCACGTTGCAAGAGAGTTCAAAGCTGATTGACTTTGCATGTCTGAAATGTGAGGAATATGTACTGCAGTCTACGTGTTGCAGTGGCCTAATAGCCTGAAGAGTGATCATACAATACCAGCAATGCATGCACACTATTACAGCACTCATAACATCGATTGTAAGCCTAACCGGCGTACAGTGCCACGTGTGCGCGTTACTCTATTACACAAGGGTGATGGCCGTGTGAACATTTAATATCCATCTGCGTTTGAAAGTCAACGCGCAGTCGCAGCTTTGGGTTTTGAACTCACTGCGACTCCGGTAGCCTGCGGATGCCTATGAGACCCATCAGAAAGGCTGCGAAAGGTCAGAGATTCAATTAAGGATCGAGACATTTTGGAGTGTGAAATGCGAAGGTCACAGCTCGTGAAGCTCTAAAATGTCTGGATCCGTACGTGAATGATCACATCACCCAGGGTATCCAATTTATGTACTGTGCTTCTACGCTCCCTCATCCACACACTGACCAGCATGGTGATGTATTGTCAAATAGTCCCCGCGACCCACATGGTGTGGGGGAGGGCGCTGCTCTAGTAGTACATGTACACATTGATCTACTCGTGCAAAGTACCATGCCATCGGGGTTTTGACGTCCTTTTCACCAAGGGCAGTGTGCGCTTTTGTGAGTCGACCAATTCCTCGCAGAAATAAGAGCAACTGTAGCAGGATTTGAACTGTTGGCTCCGTCAAAGTTTGAGCGGTAACGATGGGGGGTGCTGAACACTCGGCCATTTAGACAGTCAAATAATAATCCTGAAGGCCGCTTGTGTTGTGGCCGAAACGTCGTGAGAATTTTATTGTGTTATTTTATTTTATCAATTTATTATTTTATTCTCATTCTACGTGACTTTACCGAAAGAACCAAAGAAGACGAATAATCCTATTCGCAGCCTGTAGAGGGCACATCATTGGGCACTCTGACGCTCAGCGAAATAAGATGTGAAGATGACCACAGCACTAAAAGCAGTTAAATGTACATGCACGGCGATTTTGTTGGCCGACTGCTGGATGATGAGAGTCTCCCTTCACACTGCGGGCCAAGGGGGTTATTTGAGCACACCATCACATTTGTCAGTGCGGGATGGCGAATAGCGGGGACATAGACACGGAAGCATAGAAGTACAGTACGATAATGGCTTTTTGCTGTGCTCCCAACAATGTAGCACCTACATGGGCCTCTCACCCAACACTGCACGGCATATTTTGCCCGTCAAAACAAGTGGGGATATCAATCTCCACAGGGCTACCACTGTTTTGGCTTCCCAATCACCGACCGAAAAATGAATTGATAACCTACTGATTGTAACCCACCTATGACCAAATCACCTGGCATGTCCCAAATATCATCAGAGCTCACAAAACAGGAGTGGAGCCTGGAGGGCACTTGTATGGGTGATCACGATGCATGCATGCATGCCCAGGATTTCAAGAGACAGCTTCTGGGCTACGTGGCGGTCAACAAGAGGCGGTGCAGGTCAATCCATTATTGTACTGTACTTGCAGTCAAGCATATGCTCCATGCATTCACCAAACCGACACTGACCAACGTGGTTAAGTACGGTCATATAACCCCCATTACCCGCATGTCAAATATAGGGAGGCACTCATCCATCAATGCAGTAACAAGAGGACTGTACATGTATATGATTGTAACTCAAGGTGCCCAAACGACAGCGGTCATCCGGCTCGATCTATGCAGCTGGTAACATTTAGCAAAACAGTGAAATGACGGGACACCACGTTTGTCTGCCAAGCCAAGATGACCTGACGAGACTCGGGACCGCAAAAAAAGACCACCGCTCGGAATTGGCGAACGCCACGCTAAACCCCGGCGCCGAGTTCACGCCCACGTTACTCGGCGTGCGTGCGCCGATGAGACCAGAGGATGGAGCGGTGCGAGAAGTGGAGGTCGCACACCTCGCAGCGGTACGGCTTCTCGCCCGTGTGCATGTGGCGGTGGTCCTTGAGGCTGGAGCACTGGGAGAAGGCACGGCCGCACACGTCGCAGCTGTAGGGCTTCTCGCCCGTGTGCAGCCGCAGGTGCCGCTTAAAGTTGGAGTAGTGCGCAAAGGGGCGCAGGCACACGTCGCAGCGGTACGGCTTCTCGCCCGTGTGCATGCGCATGTGCTTCCGCAACGCATCCGACCGTGCAAACTGCCGCCCGCACTGCCGGCACTGGTACGGCCTCGACTCCTCGGGCGGCGCCATCGTTTCCGGCGCCGCTGCCGCAGCCGCAGCCGCCACCGCGTCGTCGTCGCCCGCAGCGTCGCCCCGCGCGGCGGGGTAAACACGAGTCGAGCTCACGGTCGCGTTGCCTTCGGCCTCGTGCCTCCCGTGGACCGCGTGTCGCTGGTACTGGGCGTATCCCGATCCTTTCGCCGTCCTGTCCGGCGGCGCCGCCGCCGCCGCCCGCATCGAAGCGACGTTCTCAATCAAGAACCCCGGTGGCGATCCCAGACCGAGGAGGCCGCCGCCGCCGCCGCCGCCGCGCGTGTACGACTGGTTCGTCCTGCCGAGCGAGAGGCTTCGCTCGAAGGCGAAGGGGAAATGCTCTTCCCCGTTCGCCATCGTTGCCGCCGCTGCCACCGTCGCCACGAGCCTGGGCGAGTGCTTTTTCACGTCGTTCCCCACGCGGCGAGCCTGGGCCACGGTGGCGACCGCCTGCCGCTGCATCCAAGCGGGCGTCATCAAGGGGACCTCTTCCTCGAGGAAGAACTTGTCTTGGCAGGGCAACTCCTCGCCTGCCGGAGAACACGCGCAGTTGTGTGAGTGCGATCGCCTTCTGTGAACAGTGTAACGCATTTCTTTCGAACTGGCTTTGTGCGATTAGTTTGTTGTCCTTCCCCCGCACCTCTAATTAGCACGTTTGGCTACGTACGGTGCGAAAGAAGTTCAACTTACATTACATATGAGCCAGGGTGTGGCTCCTTGAGACACCTACGGGAAGGGAACTTCACAACATTTGTATGATCCACCAACCCTTGCTGCCTCCAAAGTGCGAGATTACAGGCGTCAATCACTAAAGCCCGGCTACAGTGTCGATGGATGGATTTGGCTACGTACGGTGCGAAAGAAGTTCAAAATACATACATACGTTAATGAAATAATGGTATTGCCGATCGAGGATAATGTTATCATTATTATAAGTCAGCTTTTTTTGCTGTTGGATGGAAAGATTATACTTTAAGCAAGAGCATATGCTGACAACATACGTGTTAATTTGAGTATTGCTTTAATCCCACATGTTTTCATTCTGAACACAATTTTTTTAATCGCATGCCAAAACATTATCTGTTAAAAAAAACGTAAATGTGTGATAATCAATTTAAATGCGCCCCTTTCTTGCTCGTAATCAATCAACCAATATATATTTATTTGCTGGGGTGCAGACTTACAGTGAGGGAAAAAAGTATTTGATCCCCTGCTGATTTTTTACTTTTGCCCACTGACAAAGAAATGATCAGTCTATAATTAAAATGTTAGGTTTATTTGAACAGTGAGAGACAGAATAACAACAACAAAAATCCAGAAAAACGCATGTCAAAAATTGTATAAATTGATTTGCATTTTAATGAGGGAAATAAGTATTTGACCCCTCCGCAAAACATTAATTAGTACTTGGTGGCAAAACCCTTGGTGGCAATCACAGAGGTCAGACGTTTCTTGTAGTTGGCCACCAGGTTTGCACATATCTCAGGAGGGATTTTGTCCCACTCCTCTTTGCAGATCTTCTCCAAGTCATTAAGGTTTCAAGGCTGACGTTTGGCAACTCGAACCTTCAGCTCCCTCCACAGATTTTCTATGGGATTAAAGTCTGGAGACTGGCTAGGCCACTCCAGGACCTTAATGTGCTTCTTCTTGAGCCACTCCTTTGTTGCCTTGGCCGTGTTTTGGGTCATTGTCATGCTGGAATACCCATCCACGACCCATTTTCAATGCCCTGGCTGAGGGAAGGAGGTTCTCACCCAAGATTTGACGGTACATGGCCCCGTCCATCGTCCCTTTGATGCGGTGAAGTTGTCCTGTCCCCTTAGCAGAAAAACACCCCCAAAGCATGTTTCCACCTCCATGTTTGACGGTGGGGATGGTGTTCTTGGGGTCATAGGCAGCATTCCTCCTCCTCCAAACATGGCGAGTTGAGTTGATGCCAAACAGCTCCATTTTGGTCTCATCTGACCACAACACTTTCACCCAGTTGTCCTCTGAATCATTCAGATGTATATTGGCAAACTTCAGACGGGCATGTGTATGTGCTTTCTTGAGCAGGGGGACCTTGCGGGCGCTGCAGGATTTCAGTCCTTCACGGCATAGTGTGTTACCAATTGTTTTCTTGGTGACTATGGTCCCAGCTGCCTTGAGATCATTGGCAAAATCCTCCCGTGTAGTTCTGGGCTGATTCCTCACCGTTCTCATGATCATTGCAACTCCACAAGGTGAGATCTTGCATGGAGCCCCAGGCCGAGGGAGATTGACAGTTCTTTTGTGTTTCGTCCATTTGCGAATAATCGCACCAACTGCTGTCACCTTCTCACCAAGCTACTTGGCAATGGTCTGGTAGCCCATTCCAGCCTTGTGTAGGTCTACAATCTTGTCCCTGACAACCTTGGAGAGCTCTTTGGTCTTGGCCATGGTGGAGAGTTTGAAATCTGATTGATTGCTTCTGTGGACAGGTGTCTTTTATACAGGTAACGAGCTGAGATTAGGAGCACACTCTTAAAGGGAGTGCTCCTAATCTCAGCTTGTTACCTGTATAAAAGATACCTGGGAGCCAAAAATCTTTCTGATTGAGAGGGTGTCAAATACTTATTTCCCTCATTAAAATGCAAATCAATTTATAACATTTTGACAAACTTTTTCTGGATTTTCTTGTTGTTATTCTGTCTCTCACTGTTCCAATAAACCTACCATTAAAATTATAGACTGATCATTTCTTTGTCAGTGGGCAACCGTACAAAATCAGCAGGGGATCAAATACTTTTTTCCCTCACTGTATCCAAGAAAGTGTTTGGACATTACAACAAAATAAAAAATACAATTGACCGACGAGAAATCACAAATGGGGATAACCTTACAAAATTATTCAAAAAATGTTTATAGATGACATAGGACTGCTTAGTGAGATTCACATTTTTATTTATTAAATAACGGTTTTGCACCATCACTTGCACAAAGGATCACAGTACCAGCACAATGCCCTTATAACGTCTTAGTATCACGCGTTTGCTCAGGTACTTTTCAGCAGCATCTTAGTTGAGGACATGAGCTGCAGCTCAACAAAAGCAAGCTTTGGTTCTATGCTAGAGACACTAAAACCCAGAAGGATCCTACAAAGTTTATCACGACACCACCTAGCCCTAACACTAGACCGCACAACACTACCAGTAGATTACCTGGAACTACCAAAACTATCTGAGCACACCCAGGTACTTGCTAAAGGTTCTTCTCCCTGAAAGCCTTTGAAGAGGCAGCAGGGTCCATGGGCCACAAGCAGTAATCCTCCATCCGCCCGCAATAAACGAGCCGTCAGTATTGCATTCATGTAAGTCCTCTTCTTCCCAATGCCAGCAGAACAACAGCTTCAGTCCATCTTCAACTATCATTGTCATTGCTTTGGCTGAAAGTCCGTAAGATAGCTTTTGTCTAATAAGTCCATATCACAGACTGCAGAGATGTCCATTCTTCAATCCTTTCTATGATAGTTCTTTCCATTTTGAACTCCATAGGCTCTTCTTGTCTTCTTTGGGTCCAGATTCCTGTGCCATATAATACTACCAAATTGCATAACAAGTGTGTCATACGCGAGTAATTGTAGCTTTTGGTTTTAAAGTATTTCACTTTCCAGGTCATTTAAAACTACCCTATGACTGAAAGTCACAATTTTATTCTCCTCTGCAAATCACCTGTGCGTCCATCGTTCAACAGTATCAAACCACTAAGGTATAAAAATCCAGAAACGCACTCAAATACTTTCCCTTTATTAACATGTTAACGTTTAATCTTATCTGGCAACAGTCAAACCTTTTTGATTTATCAATATAATTAGTACCAAATCTGAGCTGGCTTTTCAATGTTGACTTTTTTGCAAGTAATTCTATGTTATCTCCAAAACTGTAAACAAATAATTTGATCAATTTGCCACAAATTCACAAGTCAGAATTGTCTGATAACTGCTCCATTATTACTTCCAAAATATATTCGAACAAGTACAGGGGAGGATGTATGCATTCCATGCTCAATGCCAATATTTATCCTGAACCAATCAATACATAATATTTCATAGAGTAGGTTATTAACATAATCATCTCCGGCAATATTACTTGCAATGCCAGGTATTTGACGTTATCACATAAATCTGGTCTATTGTTCTTCCAACTCTGAACTCTGCCTGGTCTTCCTTAAGGGTTACAATCACTTTATACAGTATTAGGCATGTACCGATGCATTGAGCAAATTTAGAGTTTAATTTTGTACTTCAATGACATTTGCATCGAATCGTGCATGCGAATTCATGATAGACATGTACATTAAATGCCAAGGACATACCAATAAAATATTGATCTCATTATCTAGGATTTTAAAGAGCGCTTTCGTCAAAGCGCTTTACAAGAATTATAATTGGTACATTAGTATTGGCTGATGGAGAAAAGGGATGGGGTTTTAGTTTTGGGGAGGGGAAGGGATGGCAAGGAAGGGTGATGATAGGGAAAGGCAGGGGAGGTGAGGTTAGGAATGGGAAGGATGGTAAGGAAGGGTGATGATAGGGAAAGGGAGTGGCAAGGTTAGGAAGGATCTAAGGTGGTAAAGGTTTTAAGGACAATGACAGGAAGTTGGTGGAGGGATAAGCCCTCTTGAAAAAAGATTAGTCTTAAGGGGGGGAAATGAAAAATGGCTAGTGAAGTTGCCCGTTTGATGTGGAGGGGGGCGTTTATTCCAATGGAAAGGGGAGCCAGGACGGAAAAGAAGCGGAGACATGACTGAGCACAGGGAGGGGGTGGGCGTAGTGAGGGACAATAGAAATTGTGAATGCAGGGGCCTAGATGGGACGTGGTAAGAAATGAGAGAAGCGAGATAGGGTGGGGGGCAGAACCATGCAGCGATTTGTAAACAATGGTGAGGGAACATTTCTGCTAATCGCATGAACACAATTGTAAAAACGAGGCAATGAGAAGAAATTCAACCGAGATCAAATTTTTGGAATATATTCCTGAATAGAATAACGAGGCAAAATTGTAACAGTTTATCGTAAAAAAAATGTTTGCATGCTTCATTACCCCATCTTGAAAAAATGATGGGAGCAAAAAAATATATAAATTCCCCTCTCGGAATACAGTTTCGTAATGTCCGACCAATGCTTGCGCTTGTAACATTCTACAAGCCTTATATATATATATTTGTTTATTGCAATTGGTGTTTAGAAAAGATCCGAGTGAAACACACGTTTGGTGCGATCATTGGCAACAGGGTTGGGGCCAACTCACTACATCTGCAAACCGGCTTTAATCATGAATGGCTGAAACCTGATTGAGGAACCCCCAAGTTTCATCAGTGGCAGCTCCGAGCTGCTGAGCCACCTTGGAAATTTCCCATTTCATTGGTGGGAGCCAATTTCTCCCAAAGACATCTGATAAAATGGTTCTCAATTCCATAAAACTGTTCTAATGATAAATCAACTTCACGAGAGATGGTGAACAGACAGTGGGTTGAGTTAACCCTCTATTTGTATTTGAACTTGCAAACATCAATATTTTGAGTTGAGCAAACTTGACACAGTACCACATAAATATACTGTCTGTATATTCAAGGAATATTTAAAAATCAGGCCATTTCATCCGAGTGATCTCCAAAGTGTTTTCATTTTAAGTTCAACATCACCAGGACTGTGACAGAATTTCTTGATATGAATATCGGACAACGCACTATTCAATGTCAAAACGTCAAAGTCTCTTCCTGGTCGTACGATTGTTTTCGTAGCATTGGTGTTCTTTTCACATTTCCATATAGCTGGAGGGAGCAGTCGCTTGAGAAGACAACCAGTTGACTTTTGACAAAGGCAGTATTCATTTTATTGACCTGAGATAAACGATGGGGCTGAGTTGGTTATGGACCAGAAACTAACCCAACCGTGTAATGCACCATCTGACAAAATAAATCCTGAGAAAAATGCCTAACTTAAAGAAAAATGGTTTTCGCACCTACGATAAGCACGGTTGGCTACATACGTTGCGGATGAAGTTCAACATACACACGTCAACAACGCCGACGGGATAATCAACTTGCTGCCGAATGGTGGCACTGGTGACGCTTGTAGTTGCTGCACTGCGAGAATCTGCGCCCACACAGGTCACAGCGGTACGGCTTCTCGCCCGTGTGCATGCGCTGGTGGCGCTTGAAGTTGCCATACTGCGAGAAGGCCTGACCGCACACGTCGCAGCCGTACGGCTTCTCGCCCGTGTGCATGCGCAGGTGGATTTTGAGCTCGGCGCAGCGCTTAAAGCCGTGGCCACACACCTCGCAGCAGTACGGCTTTTCTCCCGTATGCGAGCGCATGTGCTTCTGGAGGTAGTCGTGCCTCGTGAACCGTCGACGGCACAGCTCGCACGCGTACGGCCTGTTGTTTCTCGTGCCGCCGCTAGGCTCGGGCACCGCCGCCGCCGCCGCCGTTGCCGCCGACGTTGCCGCGGATTGGACGACCACCCGCAAGCTCGCTGGGCCTTGCTCTGAGACGTGACCCGCGGCGGAGCGTGTCGAGGCCGCGTCGACAGCGAAAGCGGCGGCGCCTCGTGCGACGTTCCTGCCGACATTCCCACTGGCGCCCCGGGCTCCTCTGGATGCTCGCGGCTGCCGTGGCCGCTCCGTACCCCTCGAGTTTTCCGACCGAGGATAGAGCTCTTCGACGCCCTTCAGTGATGTCACGTCACCGATGATGAATCCAGACTGACAATCCTCACTCTTACCTGTAGAAGGAAATGGCACCACTTTCAAGCAGCTGAACGCCGACACAACCTCGCCGGGGGTAACAAATAGGTGGAACTGGAACATTTCCCCTGGCTCTCGTTCCTTGCAAGTCCAATCGCATGTCGACCATAGACGCTACAGTTATTGACACGCGGGACTTGTCATCCTCATCTCGCCTCTGTACCAGGGTGGTACGTTCGTGGTCTTGATCTTCTGATACGATAGGGCAGCCTCCACACGTGCTTTAACGCCGGGACGAGTCCCCCAGCACCACAACTCTGTATTCATAATATTTTTTTATATCCTAAAGCAGGGTTCTTTCGACCTTATTTTCCAGCGAGCCACATTATAAAATTACTGCGCGCTGGTGGGCCATGTGACGGCATAGTGTCTATAAAAATTACCAAAAATGTGTCACTCTCTTATCTTACTCATGTCTTGTTTACATAATCTTTATTTATTATTGATAGATCTCTCAATCTCAATTTCATATTTATCTTTCATCTCGCTAATCGGTATCTGTGTCCGAGCGGACCACAGCTCGGTGGGCCACTCCCAAGATCCTCTGCGGGCCACATTCGGCCCACGGGTCACCAGATCAAGAACACTACCCAAAATAATTTCAGAACACATGATTACAGGTCAATGACGCACTTGGTGTTAGCACGTGAACATGACATTGTTCCCTGTGTACCCCGGAGGGGTAACATGCACCTGGAGGTTCATCCATGAAAACATTAGCACTTCCCATGAGGTCCAGTCACCAAATCTCCCCCCTCCTGTCTGTCTTCAATGGTGTAGTCACAAATGCTTGAATATGTTGAAATTTATGGGGTGGGGCAGGGCAGTGGCGCCGAGATTGGCGCACCGTCCTATGAACCCAACCACCTGCATTTGATTCCCGGCCATGGCAAACGTCTGAACCGGTCCTGGCTCCGTCCCACTTCACCGACTTTCACTAGCCAGTATGAAGAAGGGTCAAGCAACCCCAATGACCACCAACACTTTGTGGGAAGATCTTCATCAATTAATGGACAAAAGGCCGTAAGTTCTATGGATCAGGCCGATTGTCATAGCAGTTGTAAAGGGCCCTCAGTTAAAAAGCAGCTGAGAAGCACGGTTAAACACTGTCAAAATGTTCAGGTTTTTTTAATGTATGCACCAACACACTTTGCACCACTTCCTGTTTCATTGCTCTTTTAAATCTACATATATTGCTTTAATGGTTTATGTCTTGCGTCACAATGCATGGTCCTACCCATGTATGTAGAATTTATTTCCTACCGTACGTAGCCAAACTTTTTATTCATTTACCACTCCACACATTTTACGCTGCAGTAACCAAGGATTTTTGTTGAAAGCACAGTCAACCATTGCTGAACGAAAGGTCACACGTTTACCTCTATTGCCCCCGTAATGCGAGGCTCTCTTTCACCACCCATCGGTGCTGTCGACTCTGTCCCAGTTCAGGTCCAGGCTCAAGATCTGTCTTCGACTGACTGCCTTGTTCTCGCCATATAAATATGTCCAGTCTCTGTACAGAATCTTGATATGCTATGTAGAACCCAATCGTATAGTATTGTAAGTCGCCAATGTCTTAGTGCTTACTTCAATTCAAATGTAACCACGACCTCACTCTATGAGACTTCGTTTTAAAATCTCCTAATGCCTGGCTTTTGTATGTGAAAATAGTGTAGTCGCCGCTGAGGTTGAAGAACATGGGGAAATTTGACATTTTTGGTCGTCATTACAGAATAATTATAAGGTACGCAGTCGCTCAAAAGGACGACTCTATTTGACTTAGTTCCTAATTAGCTGTCTTTTTAAAAAAGTAGTTGTAGTCAGCTAGCTTTGGGGGATTACTCCTGAAAAGAAATCAGGTGTAAGGGTTGGGATCGAACCCACGACCTCCTGTATACCGGGCGAGGTAGTTAACATCTCTCCATCCCTTAGGTTGGGATGTATGACCATGCTGCGCCCGCTGAGCAATCAGCGGCGCTTTACAAATGAAGGTTGATGATGAAGATGTTGGTGTCAATGTGCACTCACCGTCGCAGCTCTCCACTTTGACCTCTTGCCACACGGGGCTGAAGTTTGCCTCGGTAGAAGGGCTGTTCCCTCCCTCGTCTGGGGAGAGAGAAGAGATTATGACTCGGCACGAGCACTGTAATGACTAAAATACAACTTGATTATTTGCAAATGTTGAAGTTACGGATGGATGTAAATTTTATGTTTACTCACCTAAGCCAGCAGTGAAAATTCCACATTCCCATAACAGGGACCAGTCCTTTTATGAAGTGGTACACATTTTATGAACCTCGTAGGGCTAAGAGGTTGAGTTTCGACCTCCAAGCCCGCATTTAAACAGGTGACTTTCCAATTGTGAATCTAGCACTCTTAACTAAACATCTGAATGACAAAGCCTCCTGAAAAAGCATCTCGAGGCTCAGAAATGCTTGGGTAAATAAAGGACTACAATATTACACGATTATAAAATAAAATTATACTCGCTCTAGTGTGTAAGATAAACTAGTACTTAAGACAATGTGTGACATGCAAAGCCATTTGATTTCTGGGAGACTCAACCGGGGCCACACAGTGAACCGGCAGTAAATCCCACCCAATCGTCAATAGCCATGCCCACTAAAACCACGAGCTCTACCCACACAGTGAGGGGCCTCTCTCCTCCTCCTGACACTGGCACCACCACCAACTCATGTGCCCTGCCCACTCCTCTGCCAACCCCCAGGCTACCCGGGTAGTTGGGCATCTAATTTTAAACACAACCCAATAACTCTGATAAAACGCAGATTCTTGAATAGACCCCAAATTACGACAATTTATTTTTGTATCACAATGAAGGGGGTGTGGGGTGTTAATTGTTAGAGGCTTAGGATTTTTTTGCATTTAAATGTGACTTCTCTCTGCTTGTAAATACCCAAGCTTCATGCTGTTAAAGACAAAGTGAGGATACCTTACCCAATGGTTGTTCACTATCACCGCCCCCTCCGGTAACGCTCGTTTGGACTTGAGAATTTCTGAACTCCATGGGGCAATCTGAAAGAAAGTGACAATGGCCTGATTGGCTAGTACACGAAAAAACACTTTGCAACAGGCGACATTCGCAAGAAACACCTCAGTTTAAGGAATGACCATCATACAATACGCTCATTTATACCATAAAAACTAAACACTGGTTGTTAATTTGCAAATGTAATCGGCACTGACACCCTTGTCAGTGTGGTTTATGTGAAGTACAATGGTGTTTTTGTTTTGTCATGAGGAAGAAGAATGCGTACAATAATGACCACCGTTGCGGCCAAAGGTTGCAGTGCATTTTGCCTCGAACGTGAACATCGGCCCAAGTGAATTTACTAATTTCTAGAAGACACCAGTACAGCAAGCGGGTTTCCCGACTCATCTGCGTGGATTTTCGTGCGCTGTCCCCTTAGTACGGCCTGCGAGGGTCCTGCGACCAAGGGGAAGATCCCACCAACAGATAGCGGGATACTGTTCAGGAAGGAGATCACAGCAGCTGGGGGATTTCGGCATCAGCATGTGGCAATTTCCCCTCGCGTGAAAAAAATGCATTTGCCAATCTTGGTCGTGGAGGACCCATCTGAAAAAAAGTCCTGATACTCAGTGAGGCTTTGTGATGTAAATGAAAATAGTATTCAAGCCAGATTGAAGTGTGGAGTTTTCCCTACTGACTCAGGGACCAATAATTCAAATGAGCAGCACTCTGCGCATGTCAATACAAATGAGGATAGAATGAGTATATCACCTCCAGTCTAGGTTCCTGAGCTGTAATCATCACCTACCTCACACAGCCATCACAACAGAATGTTAACCTCACCATCACGTAACATGTATACCACGCCTCCCATACAGTACATCTTGAGGCACCCTTTGGCAGTGCTCGGCATGTGGAAATTATCCCTGTTCACAAGGTGAATGCAGTACCGGCCTGCAAATGGGAGTTCGTCTGCCAGTAAAGGGTGATATTCCTATGTGGTTTGCCCAATAATTTGTGGAGTAATCCCTGAAGATTAGTGTGGCGTTTCCTCCTTCTAGTCGGAGCTCACCGCGATTGGAGAACTGACTCTTCTCCTCTGAGGGCAGCTCCTCTTCGTCAGCAATCAAGTCCTGGTGTTCAACCCCTGCACAGGGTGGACTGGAGACACCAACACCCATTTCAGGGCCGTCCATGACTCCCAGCCTCCGCACGGACATCAGCAGCTCCCGGCTCAAGCCGCTGAACAGCGCGAGCAGCACGTCCACCAGGCCTCCCAGCGTCACGTCGCCAGGGGAGGAAGCGGCGGCGTCGTCCCAGTGCGGTGTCCCAGCGTCGTGGGGTTCGGCCCCCTGCAGGGCCTTCACCACCTGCCGCAGCACGGCGTAGAAGCCGAAGGGCAGGCGGTCGCGGGCCGTGGACAGCAGCTCGGCCCGCACGAGGCCGTCCCCGACGCAGGCGCGCAGGACCCCGTAGTCCCGGATGCCCAGCTCCGAGTCCATAGCCCGGGCCACCTCCGCGTTCACGCCCTGCGCCTCCAGCCACGCCGGGAAGTCCCCGCTCGGTTCCAGCACAGCTGCGCATGCCATTTTGTGAGCCTGCAGAATGAAAGAAGAGTTAATGGGCCTCCCTGCTCAATAGACATTTTGACAGTGCTTAAGTACCATGGAAATTCTACAATTCCATACATTCCTCCTCTGAGTTTATCCACATGACAGTGACTATCACAAGTACACAATGCTGCTGCCATTCACACCAGTTAACGAGAGAGCTTATACTACAATCAATCCACCGGCTGCATACATTTCCAGATCGCATTCACGGTCTTCAAGATCCTGCATGGACTCACCCCTACCCACTGCTCTCTTCTCACCTCCCTCTATTCCCCCCTTTCTAAGTACTCTCCGCTCCAGAAACCATGGCGTTGAATGCAAACCCCCAGGTCAACCCTTGCCCAGCAGAGGTTAGCTTGTTATCCTCCATTGTCCCCATTCTCTGGAAGGCCCTTCCCATATGATCCATACTGTCAACTTCCTGTTCAAGTTCAGGCTCAAGACCTTCCATTTAATCTTGGCCTTTGACTGCAAGCCTCCAAAAAAATTAAGTCTCACTGTTTCTGTACACCGCCTTGAGATGACGTAAAAATGCACATTTTACGTTATTAACCCGCAAAGGAACGAAAATAATAGTTTAAGTCGACTAGAGTGCTCAAAGTTTATTTTCCATATATAAAATTACCAACTAGTTTAGTTACATAAGAGGTTTTTGGGGGGTTTTGGGTTACACGATCTAAACAAAAAAAACCCCTCTATTTTGGATACTGGTCGCAAAAGCCAAAGTGTTAAACTAGTTTAGTTACAACAAAAGGGTGTAGTGATGCACCGATTCAACAATAAAAAATATATTATAAAGGCCCACATGATACATTCATTTACAACTGCACAAATTTCCGATTTTAGTTATAGGCAAATGTTACGCTTCTGTTACATTTAGGCTAAAGGATAAATGAGCGAAAAAAATAAATGAGAAACACTATGAACCGGACAACAAAAATAAGAGGTTAAGAGCACTGATCTGGCACCGCACGAGACCCTGGGTTCGAATTCAGTGCAGCCAGGCGTTATTCAACCGAGTTCCCAAGTGTAGTGAGTTAACGTCTCATTCAGGTCACCAATGACTATCACAAAAAAATCATCAACACCAAATTAGCTTATGCACTTAAACCCTCTCGTTCCGATGATGTACGTGTATACCATCTAAACGAAACCGGAGAAAAATTACTTTATCGGTACCGATGCTCCCGAAAAGCCCACGTGAGAGGGCGTGTGGCACAGTTTGGCGCCAGCTATCGCAGAGTGCGGTACGTGTCGCTACGGTTCTCTGCGGCGAGTAACAATGTCTTTAAAAGCAACGGCGCTACTACGCATGTCCAAGTAAAATTAGCGCCGAGCCTCTTGCGCGTTAAGAGATTCAGCGGTGAAGGGGCCACCCACAGCCTGCACAACGTGCAGACGCCTCGGAACGGGAAAGGGTTAATGCAGCTAAATTTTATTGTCGCGCATAAAAGCGAGTAGGGAAGTGCTGCCCTCTACTGTGCTGACCAGAGATCACTTCAGGAGAACGTAATAGGTAGCTCTTACTGGTAGGAACCTCCTGGTTACACCAGCAGCCCACAGGGGATTGTGTCCGTCCGTCCGTCGTGCATCCAAAAATGGGAGGGGTGGGGCTGGGTGGAGAGGGGAGGGTGGGGAGGGGCTGGGCGGGGAGGGGAGGGTGTGGAGGGGCTGGTCACCCCGTGGTGCCCTTATGAAACTCAACGTTTAACCTACTCACGCCGGCTTGTGCCCACCCTCACAGTCGGGCATATTTGCGGAATACACCACGCCGCCGTTGACCCTGGCCATTGACCGAGCAACCCAACGTTCCTACCAGCTCCCTCCGCAGGAATGTGTTTAATACTTGCTTCTAAGGGCCGTTTTCTAACACGAAAGTTTGCATTGTTCTACGAGATATTCTAAAGCACGCTTTGGGCATCATGACGCAACGGCGATCGCAAAATTGGGATAACGTTGAGAAGAAATTACTGAAAATATAAAACTGTACATGAATTCTTGAATCGAATTGTGGCTATCCGTTGATATCACTAAAGGGGGGAGACAGGTTGAGGTGAATATATTTTTGTTCAACTGTATTGAATCAAAGTGACAGTGTCAGCCGATTCATACGAAAGTGGGTTTGAGCTAATCGCCTTTGGCGAATCTGATCCAGTGCAGGAAAAGCCACATTCCCCACGACGTATTCCAGTCTTATAAAAGCACCGAGTACTATTCACTTCCACAACGCGGTACGCATTTTACTGACCCCGTAGGAACAGTAGTTTGAGCAAATGTGAACGACAATTATACGGTTCAAAGCTCGATCATTAAATCAATGTACGTACAGGTGCTGGTCCTCTTGTCAACCCACTACTGGATGACAGCCTCCCCGATGCGGTGCTGGGTCGTGAGGTGTTATTTTTTGGGGGGGGATTTTTGCACACAGCGTTGAAATAGGGGTTTTTTTCTTTCTGGAAGATTTGCTGGTTCATCCCAGGATGCTTCCGTTGCGCGTCGTCGCTTTCAAGATGTTTCTCTGTTCATATTTTGTTTGTTGCGGTTGCACCCGACTCAAGAGCCGCATGGCTCACAGGGGCTATACCATTATAAACGAAACTTGAAAACTTGTTCTTTGACCATACTTCACCACGCTGGTCAATGCGGGTTGGTGAAAGCTGAGGGACAATTTATGTATCTTACCAGGTAAGGCCCACTCAGCTATCTAGCCCATTTTTCAGAAGCGACCTGGCCATCACAAGTGATAGCTCAACGAAGCGGCCTATCACGCGGAAATTTATAGCAGCCAAATACTCTAAACGTGTGATGTTGATTCTAAATGAAACCGGAGCACCCGGAGAAAAATCCACGCGAGAGAGACAATATAATACAAACTCGAAATATACAGCTGCAGGCGTCAGGGACAGGATCACGAAAAGTCCAAATATACAACAGGCGTCAAGGGTCGGGATCGAACCCACGACCTCCTGCATACCAGGCGAGGTAGTTAACATCTCCTAGCCACCGTGATGATGATGATGAGAGACACACAAACTCCAAATATACAACAGGCGTCAAGGGTCGGGATCGAACCCACGACCTCCTGCATACCAGGCGAGGTAGTTAACATCTAGCCACCGTGATGATGATGATGAGACACACAAACTCCAAATATACAGTAGCAGGCATCGTCAGAGGTCGGGATCGAACCCACGACCTCCTGCACACCAGGCGAGGTAGTCAACATCTCGAGACAGTTAACGGATAACAGAAGTCCACTGGTGTTGTTGTTGCGTTGCCCTCGACTGCCCCCACCGTAACAAAAGCTCCCCCCCCGAAGCAGCCTCCAGCACCAGTATGGAGAGCATAGAAGTACTGTACAGTAACATACATCTCTAGATTTGAAGCTTTCGTGACTGCAAGGATTCATACTCTTTGGTTTTATTCGGTAAAGTCACCTAGATAAAATAAAACAAAACTAAATAAAACAAATTAATGAAATCGCGACGTTTCGGAGGCAACACAAGTTTTTTCCGTCTTCAGATATTCTGCGTTGACTTTTACACCTGAAGTGGGAAGCTTGCGTTGCCTCCGAAACGTCGCGATTTAATTGTTTTCTTTTATTTTAATTTATTTTATCTACGTGACTTTACCCAATAAAACCAAAGAGTATAACACACACACCTCGTTTTATAATCACGTTTAGTTAACAAGACAAAGAACCCCCCCCCCCCGATACTTGCAACGCGAGGCTACGGCCAATTCGCGACCGGCCGCACGTGGCACTGCCTCGCGTATCGTCAATCCACCGCTGGATGGGTTACGAAAATACGATCAAACAATAATTGTCCCGATTGCTTTGTTCGTTTCGCATATTAAACGACGAATCGGATACAATTATGTTATCGATTCGTAAGATTTGTTTAAACGTATATACACGTTTAATACTTCAAGCGCTGCGCTGCACGCACGCACTCAAGGCTCCCTTCGTCCATTCTGTTTCCCGTTGTGTGTGTGTGGGTGTTTTTTTTGTGTTTCTTTAACCTCTAGAATCTTACCGACGCACACTTGGCTTCAGATTGGCAGGTGGAGGGTAGTGGAGGCGCAAATCTTGCGGAATTTTGTTTTTATTCGCTTAAAATAAATGTAATTGAAGAGAGAAGAATTTTTTAAAAAAAAATCCCCAAACGCGAAGAAGGCCTCGGCGCACGGCGAGTAACGATGGGGGGTGGGGGTGGGGTTGGAGTGACGGCTGCTAAGGGACCGCGTCGAACAGCCCTCTTGTCCCGATCATCATAGTTCAATAGTTCCAATTTATTTTGGTATAGCCCCTGGGAGCCATTCGGGCTTCTTGAATCGGGTGCAAGCGCAACAAACAAAAATAAACAACAACAAAAAAACTTAAAAGCACGAACACGAAAAAAACACATCTTAAAGTGACTACGCGACTGAGCAAACAGAAAAATCCAGGGGATGCAAGTCAAACAACAACAACAACTTTAACAACAACAACAAACACAAGACAACTTATATTAAGGCCATCAGTCTAACTCCTTACTACGATAAACAAAAACATGGCTAAACCAAAAAAAACGGGGGAGGGGCTCCAGTTTCAATCGTTGATCGATTACCAAGGAGAAACCCCCTATTAACGATTACTCGCTTAGGGGGCGTCCATAAATGACGTCACGCACCTAGGGGAGGGGATGGGTCAGACATTCGTGACGATGTGTGACGACGGGGGGGGGGGTTTGAGAAATGTGACGTCATATCAAAATGCGCAACTTTAAATAAATATAGACAACACGTTCTACTTAATTAAATAGACTTTTTAAATACATGTTTTCTTCTACAACATCATAAAAACGCACTACAATGACAATAGTTTAAAGCGATTTGAAGCATGTTTTTTTTTGGGGGGGGCAGAGTTTTGTGACGTCATATTTGAGGGGGGGCCTGACTTTTTGTGACGTCGTGTGACGAAGGGGGGGGTAAAAAAATCGTCCAAAATCGCGTGACGTCATTTATCGACACCCCTTTTAGCTACGGGCCTCCATCGAGCTCAATGTGTAGCGTATGGTGTAATGTAGTGTATAGTGTAGTGTTTAGTAGTGTATAGTGTAGTGTATAGTAATGTATAACTTTAGATCTTTAGATGCCATCGGAACGAATTAGGGGCCGTCCATAAATGACGTCACGCGACATTGGATGATTTTTGACGCCCCCCCCCCCTCGTCACAAAAAGTCAGACCCCCCTCAAATATGACGTCACAAAGCTCTGCCCCCCCCCACCAAAAAAAATAAAACATGCTTCAAATCGCTTTAAACTATTGTCATTGTAGTGCGTATTTAATGTGCCGCTGCACTCTGAAGTTGTAGGAGAAAACATTTATCAAAAAGTATATTTTATTAAGTAGAACGTATTCTTGGTTCTTTCGGTAAAGTCACGTAGAAGGGAAACAATAAAATAATAAAAATATAAAACAATCATTTTTTTATTATTTTATTGTTTCCCTTCTACGTGACTCTACCGAAAGAACCAAGAATATGAATCCCTGCAGTCACGAAAGCTTTCAATCAAAATTTAAGTACAACGTGTTGCCTATATTTATTTAAAGTTGCGCATTTTGATGTGACGTCACATTTCTCAACCCCCTCCTCCCCCAATTCGTCACACATCGTCACAAATGTCTCACCTCCCCCCCCAGGTGCGTGACGTCATTTATGGACGGCCCCTATACTCGCTTAACGACCAAATCACTTATCGAGTGGTTTATTGAAACCAATTACCGTCGTTAGTAAGAGTTCTTGTTCAGGGTGGGGTGGAAGGGCTCGCCGGAGTTTAAAAAATGCCGGATCATGGCATCGTTCACGTTCTTACCCCGTGCCCCATTCTTGGAAATATTTCAAAAAGAGCTTTATAGCTCATCGGATTCCTCCACTGAATATATATTCCGATGTGATTCTGATGATTTAAAATAGCTTACTTTTTGCACATCCTTGTACAGCATTGTGTTTTTAAGTGTTGCGTATACGAGTTTTTTTCTTGAGTGCTTTAAATCGGTTTAGTAAGTGAAATTGGCATACATAAACATACAAATAGATTTTTAAAAAAATACCCGACTGTAAACCAGTTACTGTATTCACTGTACTGTACTTACCACTGCAATCTCGAAGTCTAATACCTGTCCAACCCTTACAACTGCCCTACCTTATTACAGACCAATTCAGACCTTATTGGTCACCCCGTGCCCCTTATAAAGCTCAACGTTCATCCTACAAAGTCTCATCACAAGGGAGACACACACACAAACAAATAGACAAAACACATTTTTTTACTAAATTTCCCTGTACAAGAATACGGGTGACCCGTATGGGTTGACATGTATGAAGACTCTCTGCATGGGGTAATGATTGTGGGTTGTATAATTGGACACTGAAATCAAGCATAGCTACTTGTTATTGTTGTCGGACTGGTTACAGCCTTTGGAGCAGTTTAGCCGAATAGGTCCTGGGACTGCCAGATAATGTTGGAAGCAGCTGGTTGATCGATGATCCACTGTATGTTAACACAATATTTGGCGGGGGGAGGGGGGGAGGGGTGCGTCTTATAATCCGGTATGTGGGCACTGCAAAATGACACCCGGATTCCCAAGTTGGAAATTGTGTTCACTGTCCCATATATTTGACACTCAATCCGTGCGCCACGCAGAGACTATGTGCCGCTCAGTCTGCCTAATGGATTTTAGCAGGTGACTGGAGAGAGAGAGAGAAAAAAACTTTTACCACCCCTGTCACTCAGATTCATTAGGGGCCGTCCATAAATGACGTCACGCACCTAGGGGGGGGGGTCAGACATTTGTAACGATATGTGACGATGGGGGGGGGGGGTGTTTGAGAAATGTGACGTCACATCAAAATACGCAACTTTAAATAAATATAGTTAACACGTTCTACTTAATTAAATAAACTTTTTAATAAATGTTTTCTCCTACAACATTATTGTACAGCGCCACATTAAATACGCACTGCAATGACAAATGTTTAAAGCGATTTGAAGCATGTTTTATTTTTTCTTGGGGGGGGGGGGCAGAGCTTTGTGACGTCATATTTGAGGGAGGCTCTGACTTTTTGTGACGCCGTGTGACTAGGGGGGGGGGGGGAATCGTCCAAAATCGCGTGACGTCATTTATGGACGGCCCCTTATAAGCATATACACTCTTGATTTGAAGCTTTCGTGACTGCAGGAATCCATACTCTTTGGTTCTTTCGATAAAGTCCCCGTAGGTAGAAAATAATTGGACCACCGCGGCAGCACTGGAGAGATCTGCTACGGGGGGGGGGGGGGGGAGAGAAGGGGGGGGGCCGAAAGTGGACCCCGCGGCAGCACTGGAGAGATCGGCTACAGGGGGGGAGAGAGAAGGGGGGGGCAGAAAGTGGACCCCTTGGCAGCACTAGAGAGATCGGCTGCAGGGGGGGAGAGAGAAGGGGGGGGGCACAAAGTGGACCCCCCCGCAGCACCCGAGTCACTGGAGTAGAGATTGGAGAGGGAGGCACAGGGAGAGAGAGAGACACACAGAGAGTCAGAAATAACAGGTGACATAGGCAGGTAGCATGGAAACATCACAGTCAAGACTTTAACTGGTTAATAGCGTCTTTCCAATGATTGCTCAGTTTGTACCCATCTTCTCGGTGGAAGTTGTGTCTGTGTGTTATATATCTGGATGGCTTCATGAACAAATCTCTGAAGGTAGCCGGTAGGTTTGCAGAGTACCTTAGTCTTGGAAAAGTCAATTTCGTGTGAGCCCACATCGTTAAAACAATGATCAGCAATGGCAGAGGTATTGGTCCTACCGTGTTTCGGATCTGCCTTGTGTTCACGAACGCGGTCCGAGACATGTCGTTTCGTTTCCCCAATGTAACTGCTGCCACAACCACAACTCAGTGTTTAGACACCAGGGTATTGCATGTCAGGAATCACATCCTTTATAGATGGGATTAAATCACGGATTTTATGTACTGTGTTGAAACGAACCTGGATCTTGTGTTTGTTTAAGATTTTGGAAATATATTTGGTAACCCCTGCTATATGTGGCAAAGTGATGGTATTGGTTGGATCATCAGAAGGTTGTCTCCCCATGGTTGGGAGACAGCTTTGCGGATTGTGCGGTCAGAATATCTGTCCATCCTGAGGGCTTGGTGTACGTGCTCCAACTCACTGGCTAGGTGATGCTGGTCGGAGATGCAACGTGCCCTATGGTGTAGTGTTTTGATGAGGGAATTCTTCTGGGCTGGATGGTGGTGGGAATCAGGCTTTTTATAGGCATCCGTGTGGGTGGCTTTCCTGTAGACAGTGTCACAACGAGCCATCAGGTCTCTTCTCGATCAAAACATCCAGGAATGGTAGCTTGCCATCCTTTTCCACTTCCATGGTGAATTTGATAGATGGGTGTATGGAATTGATGTGGTTGAGAAATTGGTTCAGTGCTGGCAGGCCATGTGGCCAGATGATGAACGTATCATCTACGTATCTCTTCCACAAGGAAGGACGTAGGGTGGATGTCTGGATGGCATCTGTCTCAAATTTCTCCATGAAAACACTTGCTACCACTGGCGATAAGGGAGAACCCATTGGGATACCCTCATTTTGTTTGTATAATGTACCATTCCAGGTGAAGTAAGTGTTGGTAAGGCAGTACCTTGAACATTGTGTGGGGGGGGGGAGGGGGGGGATTGCAAGAGCGCAGAAGGGTGGTCAACACATCTACGCCTCTATATAAGGAACGAAACAGTAAGACTTCTCCACAAATCTGGCTGTTGCTTGATGAAGCTAGTTGTAATGACTGGCGAAACGCCGTACTCAGATGGTAAATGTTGTGGCTTGGCTCCCCAACACACCGGTGTGCTGTACTAGTGACGAATTGGCCACGTTCTGTTTACGTAACAACCCTTACTAGTTGGCTGTGTCGGGTGGTGGCGGGTTTAACGACACATTTATATATTTACCCGATCTAACACAAAAACCTCTATTATGCACTCAGTTCATGTTCATAGTTTGGATGTATTTACATCAGAGGATTGTGAGCGGTAGCTGCGACTTAAGGTCAACGTGTTGCCACGAGGGGGTGGGTGGCCAACACCACACCAGCCGCCTTTGTCTCCCCAGTGGCGATGTTTACACACCGCACCAGGTACTCATTTGAGGGTGAGTCGAGCTAGGGGAGGCCCAGAACCGGTTCAGATAATCATCACTGGTGTTGGGCATGAAGGGGGAATTGAAATCGGGTCGCTAACCACGACACTACCGCTCCGCACACGACTCAACACACACACAATGTCAGTGCCA